CAGACAAAGAGAAACAAACTTTAGACACTAACTTTTTTTCAAAAAATTTTGTTAATTTTTATTGTGTCTTTATTTATATCATTGTTTAAATAATCATTTTTATTTTATTTTTGTAGGAGAAAAGAAAATAAAAATGGAATTTTCAAAATTAAAAAAAAATAGTAGAGATTTCCTTTCTAACTCAACCAAAAAATTCTCCCCAAAACCCAACCAAAAATTCCCCCCAAAACCCAAATAAAAATTTCCCAAAGTCCAAGCAAAAACCTATCAAAAAGCCTGGAAGTAGGCCAGGACAAGAGAAGGCCCATTGGCCCAGTTTCCTTCCCTTTTCCAGAAAAAAAAAATTCACGCTTGGGTGCACTTTATTTTCCTTCTCAACAGTATACAGAAAACAAACGTGAATTGGTGGCAAATTTTGGAAGCAACAAAATTGAATTTTTCTTCCCTTTCTTTTCTTCCAAGCATAATAGTACAAAGAACCACCTCACCCTTTGTGAGAATTATCAAGAAACATCTAGAAAGAGACCATTAAACGGATCGAAATGAGCCAGTAAAAACCAGTTTCATCTCCACCATTGAGATTAGGGTTTTGCAGCTTAGTTTCATTTACAAAGGAAAAAAAGGGTTTCTAGGGGCAAAAGGAAGTAAGAAGAAACAGCAAAAAAGAGAGAGAGGAAAAAGAAAAGGAAAGAACGGAGAAACAAAAGAAATTTTCCAGAAATTTTTCCAGAAAAAGACTGATTAGTCACCCCTGTTTAGACTCACTTTTCTTCCTCGATAAAGCTTCGTTTGAGGAGTTTTTGATTTCTGCATAATCTAGGAACTTGGTAGAGTAAGTTTCGTTTAGAAATCTTTTGGAACCAACATTCAGAAACCCTTCGAATCTAGCCCCAAAGTTGCTACTTTGATCTCGCTGGTACACGTTTGAAGCTTCAACAAATCTGCTTCCATTCGTGTTTTTCTGGTTTCAATCTAGTCCAAAATCATTCTCAGGTATTTCCATGACCTTTCATTGTTCGATTCGATGTTCATGTAAGGATTTGAGTGTGTCCATAGAAGCTTATATTCAAGAAACTTATATCCTCATTTTCATATGATTATTTAGTCTTTTGGATCTTGTTTGATGTTTGGTTGAGTCCATAATACCATGAATTTCATGTATGTGAAAAGATCTGATCTCAAGAGTTTGAAAAAGGGGGTTAAGAATTTATTTTGTGTTGGGTTTCACGTTGCATTTGTGCATGTGCTTTGATGTTCAAACCTAACTTTTTTATTAGGTTTAGTTTAGCAAAATAAGTTGGGTGAATTGGTTCTTTGTTTTAACAAAATGTTATTTTTCTGGTGAAGTCAGGAACGAATTTTGCATGGCGGTCCCTGCTTTTTTGAGTAATTTTATTGTGATCCAAAATATTTTAGATTTCTTTCAATTAAGTCCTCAATTTAATTACATTTTGGTCTCTAAACTTTATTTTTATTTGATTTTGACCCTAATTTTTTCAAAAATTATAATCTAACCCCAAATTTTTTTAATTTTTGCAATTGAATCCCTAATGGTTTTGATTTCTTAATTACAATTGTTTATCTTCTTTAATTGTTAATCATGCTTCATTTAAATGTATCTAATTTGTAAATTTTTAGGAATTTTATGTTTATTCATATTTTAAAAATAATAAAGTGAATTTGTTATATGTTTATATTTTCTTTTAAATTATTAATTAAATTAATGCCTTGACAATTTTTTGTTGGTTTTGGAGTATAAATAGGACAAACTCTACCTCATTTAACCACTAATTCAAGAAATGTACCCTCTATTGTTCTTTAACCCCTTTTATGTGCTCCTATATATTTTTAAGTGTGATTATATGTTTTATGTGTTTTCCCTTTATCTACTTATTTTAGTTTTTTATTCATTTTATGTTTGATTTAAGTCTTTTGATTATTTTGGAGGGTATTTTAAATGCCAAATTATAATAGAAGGTTTTCCCTTTTGCCAAGAAAATGTATTTAGATAGACAAATGTAATAGATAGGTTTTATTATTTCTAAAAATTTCCCTTTTAGATTATAGTTAGGGCCCCCAAATGTAACAATTAAGTCTTATTTGTTTGCATACTTGTGCGTTTGTGTGCTTATGTATTTCTTTACTTTTTTAGTATTGTTGCATTTAGATTTAGATATTATGCCTATGTGTTATGTGTTCTATGTGCCTTATATGTTTATTTATTTTAATTATACTTTATATGCTTTATTTATTCATAATGAGTGCATGACGTTACCACACTAATCCAATGCTAGTTGTAATTTCATTCTCTGATTTCTCACTAGTGTAACGTTAATGAGAATTTGTAGAAATTGACTAATCCAACACTAGGCCCTTTAGGCCATCGATATGATAAATTCATGTTTTGGTGCGACATTTATTGCATCTCATACATTTGTTCTATTTTTAGGTTATTTTCATTTGCATGATACATCCCTCTATTCCCTTATCTTTATACACGCAAATAATGTCATTTAGACTTGCATTTCATTAGAAAATTAAAAATAGACTAATTCATTTGCTTGACTAGATTAGAAGAGCCACACTTTAAAAATGAAAAATGGGCGAGTATGATTTTTTAGTCTTAGTTTGCTATTACCCCTCTATAAGAAGGAAAACTAAGTCACAAATTTTAGTCTTCCGTACCCGTTATGTTGCATTTCTCTTTTCTAGGTCATGTATATTTATATTATAATTTCCTTCTTTTGAGTCTCGGTTTTTGCATATTCGTGACCTCTTCGAAAGATTATTTTTGGGTTTCACAATTAATGTGATTTGTTCTAATTAAACTTTGAAAAGATATTTCTTTACTCCCGATATCATCTAGGTCTAGGTTTGCATCCATTTAGAAGCATCCAAAATGTGATAAATTTTATAGGTTAGATTAGGAAAATTTTTTGACCAAATCTTGAAATTAACCTTGGTTTGGTTGAAAGAGTGCCTTAGATTTGAGTCGATCAAATCTTTGCCTTGCCTTTCTTCAATCGTGACTCCCGAACTCTTTTCTCTCATTTTCAAAAACCTAGAGTTGTCTAAAAGGGTTTTATTTGTTTTCATTAAAAATATATTTTGGATGATTTGGTGCACCTAAACTTAATCGTAAGTGGCAACTCCCTTTTTCTAAAAAATCCTTTTTAAACTATTATTTTGGATCCAAACCGTCGCATATTCTTAGTTCCATTTTAGGCCATTTATGTTTATTTTCTAAAATAAAAAACTCATTTTTAAAACACTTTTCTCTTTTATTTTAAAAAATGGAGCGCGACAATGATCCACACATGGTCATTTTTTAGGGGCAAAAGAGTTAGATCTCATTTGTAGTTAGTCAAATGACTCGATTTATATTCATTTTTGTTCTAAAAAAAGTAGGGTTTGACTCGAACCTTATTTATTTTTCCTAAAAAGGTGAGATTTGATTCAATTCATATTCATTTTTGCTACTAAAAAGATAGGATCTGACCTTTTTATATATGAAAAAAATGACTGCATATGAGTCATATGGTGATTTTAGGTTAAAAAAGTGATCGAAAAATTAAGTTAAGCCAAAATTTTACTAATTTGAATTTATAATGGACATAAAGTTAACATTTAAGTGAAGGATGAAAAAAATTTATTTGGCAAAATGTGAGAGAAGTTTTAAACAATTTTTCCTAATGTATAGCATCAAAAAAGAGAACAAGAGTAAAATGGAAAAAAGAAAGGGAAAATGAAAAGAGAAAAAATTGTTTTATTGTAGATTTAAGAAAAGGAAAGGAAATTCACAAAGAATTACACAAAAAATTGAAGAATAAAAATGAAGAAGACGATTACCAGAAGAACAAAAACTTCTTCACCTATACTTAACATATTCCATTAACATTTCAAATCTTGTTTTCTTTTGCACTCTCATATCACTATGTGACCCCTCTCTCTCCAATGGTATTCTTTTTAATTAGAACTGTATTAGATTCTGTCTTTACTCTTGTTTTTTAGTTTGAAACTGTATGGGTACTTTTAAGCATAAAAATGCATAAATACTTGGACAACTCCAATATCAAAATATCTCTACATTTATGCATACTAAGCAAACTAAATTTACTAGGGTATTTAAAACTCCTTAATTACAGAAAACTCAAACAACTCTCCAAATATTTTAAAAGACACATCTCAAAATACTCAAAACACAAAAAAAAAATTTTTCCTTCTTTTCTTTCTTCTTTCTCCCCCTTGCCTCAACCCACCACTATCGCCGTTGGCCAGCATCGTCACCACCAACTACCTTTCTGTTTTTCTTGTTCTTTTTCTCTCTTGCCACCCCTTCTCCCTTAGTCGTCCCCTCGCCCTCCCCTTGGTCACACAATTACATGACCAAAAGGAGGGGAAGGGGGAAAGGAGAAGGAGGGGGAGAGGAGAGGAGGAGAGGGGAAAGGGGACGAAGAGAGGGAATGAGAGAAAGAAAGGAGAAAAAAAGGAGGCATCAACATTTGTGTTAGCTGACAGTAGAGGTGGCGCTTGACAATGATGGAAGTAGTGGCCGGAGTCTGGAGCAGTGGCCAGCAAATTTTAAGGTTCTTTTTGTAATTTAGATAAACCTCAACAAAGGTAAATATAGCTTTTTGTATAGGGCAATTTTGTCATTTGACTACCACTATTTTGGGTTTAGATGTGTTACTCATAATGGAGCAGCGGTAATTTGGTCAATCAGGGAGTTCATTTGTGATAATTTGGTTAGAGCTCAATTGAAGGATTTCTTCAATTCTTTGGTTTAAAAGTAGACATTTTATTTTTGCTCAAAAATAAAAAGGTCAACATTTTATTTCTGCTCAAAAATAAAAGGACAGGCAAAATATTCCCGCTAGCGCTAGGCGAGGCGGTTTGCAAGTATCGATTGCATTTAGGGGAACAAAATGCAATTACATAACACATCCAAGGAGTCTAATGTAATTAACGCTTAAGTTAAACTTAACGGAATAATTACCTCAGAACCCCCTCTTCAATCACCGATTGTTCATCATCATCGTCTTCGTCTTCTTCGTCCTTGCTTCCTTCCTTCCGTCGTACTCTTTCGCCATTTCTAGGGCTCCGAAATTCCAATCCTAATCCAAATCCCTAAAATGTCCTCGTAATCGTTTCCCTCACCTCTTCCCTCACAGAGAATCACACGGTGAAAACACACACATATTGCATCCAGAGCCAGTCTACCTTCCCAAAATAGAAAGAAATGGCGCAAGAAAATGACGTAATTGGCCTCCACTTCCTAGAACTATGGCGTTCCAACTCGAAAGCAGCAGCCGCCGCCGCGACAGCTACTACGTCGACTTCCTCCTCGTCAAAGGAGGACGCGGAATTCGAGGAGGAGCCGACGGAGCTGGACACGTTTAACAGCTCGGGAATGTTTTCAGTGGTTTTGTCGGATAAGCTATCAGTTCAGTATCCTACTGTGAATTTGCACGGTCACGATGTCGGCGTTGTTCAGGCGAACAAGCCGGCGCCGTTGAAACGGCTGGTTTATTACTTCGAGATCTTTGTTAAGAATGCCGGTGCTAAAGGCCAGATTGCTATTGGTTTCACCGCCTCGGGCTTTAAAATGCGCCGCCAACCAGGGTTAGGATTCGAGATTAGTTGTTTCTTGGATTTAGTTATTGTTATTTTCGTTACTGTAGTTTGAAAATCTTCAATTGAAATGATTTCTTATGTTTTTGAATTGGAAATGCGAGGTTTTTTGTGCTAAAAGAGTTCAATTTGATGGTAGGGTTTATCGGATTTTTGGATAAATTTGAGAATTGATCTTTGTTTTGGATGTTTGAGTGTTTGTTTGTGATTTGCACACAAGATCGTAGATATTGTGTTTAAGATAAACAGAGACTAACATACAGATAATGATTGTGGTATTCTTGATTGGGATAATTTCGGTCATTTTCTTGCATGAGACGGGGGTGAAGTATGCTGCAGTGGTTAATATTACTGCTACTTGTTTATGGTTGTCTCATGTTCCTATGTATTAGATGTTTTAGGATGCTGTCTGGAGTTGCTAACCGGATTAGGTTGCTCACAGATTTTCTTTGGTTGGCTCAGTAGCTAGAGCTAAAAATTGTATTTACGAAGCTGTTCTAAATGATCTATGAAAGACATGAGCAATTTATCTGTGGATCATCTTATTTTCATTATCCCCTCTTAAATTTGTTGTTTTGTGATTAAAAAATGACACCTTGGATATCCTTTTGAAGTATCTTACGTCAAGAAATATGGACCAAACCTTAATTTTGGTGCTTTAAGAGTCTTTTTGTAACTCTACACTTTTGACTAGATTCTAGGTTGGGGTACTGACATAAGTACATTGTTTCTTCTTGTGAGTTATACATGGCATTTGTTGGTATAGAACCTATGGTATAGCTGTTGATAATGGATTTTAGAAGATAAATTTCCCCGAGGTAAAAGCAGTTACTCAAAGCATGATTTAGAGGAACGTATTCTAAGGGCTTTCTAGAAGTGGTGAAGTGCAACAGGTCCTATTTTAATGAGTATAAAATGAAATGAATTGGAGTAGTCATTTCTGTGCTTACTATCTGTTGTAAGGAAACTTTGGAATGTCATTTCTAAGAGAGCTGATGAAAGGCTCGAGCAAAGGAAAACAAAGGTCAATACATAACAGTGTGCTTGCTTCAGAATCCGTAGGAGGAAATAAGATGTTTATGTTTTTTGTTTGTGAAAATAGTTTCTTTGGCAAGGGGTTGCCTTCTTCTCTTGCTTGTCTTCTAATTTGATTGCTTTTTTGACATGTGGCTCCAATACATTAGCTATGGACTGGAGTCAGACTCTGTATTGACACATTGGGAAAACTGGCATATCACTTAATTTCTGGGATAACTGGCATATCACTTAATTTCTGTTTAAAAAATATCAGGAAAATGAATTCTGTTCTGTAGATATAAAAGGCATGCCTCACCCTTACAGTAAAAGTCAGATGCCTTGCTGCTCATTTGCTTTCTTTTCTGTTGTTTTATTTTTGAGGGAGTGGATGTTATATAAGTAGGGGAGGGTGAAGAAAGGAGGAGAAGCTTAATACCTTAAAAGAGTATCTTGGAACCTATTGTAGTGCATTCCAGATGTCTCATTCCTGTACTGTTAATGCTCAATAGGAGAATTGAATGAAGGATTCCCATCTGACATTCATTTCAAAATCCATGTGTTATTGACATTTTTGTTAGTTCTTTTTGAGTGCATGTTTGTGAGACAGGTAGGAAGTAATTGAACTTTTGCCACCATTTTCATCATGGAACTTTTGTTTCTGACAGTTGGGAAGCAAACAGCTTTGGATATCATGGCGATGATGGTTTGCTTTACCGTGGACATGGCAAAGGAGAAACATTTGGCCCAACTTATACAACTGGTGATTCTGTTGGTGGTGGCATTAACTACTCTGCACAGGAATTTTTCTTCACGTAAGATAACCATCTTTTTTTTCTTTCTTGTACAATATGGATAATGTTGTTTTATTTTAGTGATTGTGGAGTGCAGATTGAACTAATAAGCAGCATGTTTCATTGTAATTTGGGTAAAATACAAGAAACCCCCTTGTGGTTTCGTCAAAGGTCACGGAACCCCCCTTTTGTTCAAAAACACCCAAAGGGCCTCCTTGTGCTTTGGACTAATCTGGGAAGTGGGCGGAAACTGTCTCTATTGACAAAGAACCATGAAATTTCGATTCTATTCTTAATTTAAAATACCAAAAAATTAAGTGGGAGCCTCAATTTTAGTTTTAAAATATTTCTACATAGATTTGGTAAAGGAAAGATAGTTAAGGAGTTTATTTGAAATTTTAGAAGATATGTTATCTTCTCCAGCTGCAAATGATCTGCACCAGGCCCTTGTTTTCATTTTTCTTCCTTTTTTCTTTTCTTTTCTTTCACCCCAACCAACACCAGTTCATCTTCCATTGTCATCAACTCTAAGATGTCCAAGTTCTGCAATCGACTATCTATACCAAGATCTCCAGTACTCTAATGAGCCACCACCGTCAACTTCCTTTCTTTTCTTTTTCTCTTTTTTTTTTTGTTTTTATTCGTTACCTTTTGTCCTTTCTTTATTCTTCTTCAGCCGATTAAGATAGCCAGCAATGAACCCCCGAAGCACAATAGAGAGAGAGAAAACACCTTCAAGATTGCACCTCTGACACTGCAGCTGCTGATGACGAAGTTACTCTGGAGCTTTTTGCTCACCATCAGCGAAGAAGATGAATATGCCATCTTTAATTTATTTCTTTTTTTTAAAATTTTTTGCCACTGAATCTGCTTCATTCATAGATTCATGTTAAAAAATCATCTTTTCTTCAAATTGTGAAATAAAGAGGATATAGTGTTTTTCTTCAAATTTTGATTTGCTTTAATTGCCTCTTCATTTGATGAAGATTGAAATTAATAGAAAGAGGTGCGTTGATATTGTGAAACTCTAGAAGCGTGAAGAAACGGGAAAATTGTAATCTAAAACAATCTATGTTGTTTGCAATTGTTCTTTTACACAGCTCATCATTTTTTTTCAGTTTTTTTTTTTTTTTGGCAGAATTCAAAAACCAAATCATGATTTACATGAAAATTAAAATATGGGAAGAAAAATTGGCAAAATTATCACTGGAGATGGTGGCCAGAGGTGGTTGGTGGCAGTTGGAGGTGGCAGGATGGCTGTTGGCGGTGGCAGCTCTGAATAACCCACCGCCCATGCCAGTTCAGCTAGAGGATTGACCACAAATCAGACAAGAAGAAGCAAAAGAAACAAATGGGAAAAAAGGGGAAGGAGAAAGAACAAAATAGGAGAAGAAATACAATTAATAATGAGATATGGTGAGATTTTTTTTTAAAAAAATTTTACAGGTGACATAACCTGTAATAGTAGGGGTATTTTGTGGAGAAAGGTTGATTATAATATGAAAAAAAAAACGTAATTTATGACTTGTACTCACGTATGAGGTGAGTGTGCTTTAGCTTCTGTTAGTGGAGATGATTTCCATCCATGTTCCAGTTTAGTCCAAAACAAAAGGAGGTTCTTTCGGGGTTTTTAAACAATGAGGGGGTTTCATGACCATTATTCAAACCACAAGGGGATTTAGTGTATTTTACCATTGTAATTTTGCTTCTACTATTCTGATATTTGAGGTAAACAAAATTGGCTTTCCTCCCTTTCTGTAAGTTTACTTCATTGTGGGGAGAGCTAATTGTCAGTAATAAGACCTTTTAGAGCTGTAGTTAACCCTGCATCCAGTTGTAAATTATGCTTGTTAACATTCTCAAAATTGTTGTTGAATTATTTTGGTACAGGAAAAATGGGAAAGTAGTGGGAACTGTGGCCAAGGATGTCAAAGGTCCTTTATTTCCTACAGTTGCTGTTCATAGCCAAAATGAGGAGTATGTAGCAGCTTTTGGTTTTTCCTTATATGCTCTTGCATTTTTTATATGTATATTTCAACTTCTTGATTGACGGAACATTTTCAGGCTAATTGAAAAGCTGTTATACAAGTCTATAGCTCCTATAATCTCTAATATTCATGTGCAGTGCCGATTTTCAAATAATAAGGTCGATGGGTAGTCAGACAAACTTTTCCAGATCTGAAAATTTTGTATACCATCTTTTCTGGTATTCTCAAGGTGCCTTGAACATTCTCAGAGATCTCGCTTATGCTGGCCATGGTTGTGAAGGAGCTTTAACTTGGCAAAGATAAATAGGCCTAACAATGCTTGGGCATTAATTTTCATAATCGTACTTTATTCAGACTATTGGTAATCGGTTTGTATTAAGATAAGAATGCTGAAGGTTTAGGTTTTCTCTTTTCAAATGCTTCTTATGTTGGGAGGTTAAAAAAAAAGTAGAAAAAACCTATATACCATGTAAAGTGTAATTCTCATAATGAGGAATGGTTATGGCCCATTGTAGTGCCCTAATAAAGAGGTCAGCAGAGCTAATGTGGATCTGTTTTCTAACTGGGACACCAATGACATGCTGAGTATCATGCCATTTAAAAATGATAACCGTTCAGTTTACTTGTGGAGACTCTTGTAATTTACTTAAAGAAGTGTTTTTCTTCTGGATTTGATTATCAAGACTTGTTAAGAGGTTATAGCACCTTCGGAAGGCAATTTTCACAGCCATTGTATATAAGCACAATAACCATGATGAAGGATTACCTTGGGCATTTGCTTACTTTTCTCTTGGTAAAGCATGCCTGACAATAAAGCTTGCAGTGTTATGTATTTTACAAACGCACCACACTTACCATGCATTAGTGAATGCTAAATTTGTCTTATTGCCTAAAGCTTTGCCTGGTTGGAAATATTAAGATAAAAAAAAAACTTTCATTTTTTCTGAAAAGTAAATCTTATTACTCTTCTGTTCTTTATAATTTTTTCCGTTTTCTGGAACCCGATAATCTTTTTGATGTGTCGCTCTTTGACTATATGTTTGTTAGCTGTATTGAATATGAATTGCGACATAGACCAACTACCTTTTTAGTTGGTGGGTTTAAGTTGGTAGTGACATCTATAATCGATTGTACCATGCATGTGCTCTGGCACTATATTGCTACTTTGTCATTTAATATTTTCTATTCCAAGTTCTTTTCCTTTTCTGCACTCTTGGCATGTATCTTTTCTCTTAGTAATTGTAACAATATTTGTTCAAATTGCTATTTTGTTTGAGTTATTCCAGTTTATTCATGGTTTCTTATATAAACTAGAACTTTTCTTATGCTTGTTTTTTGACTGTATTGTGGCAGGGTAACGGTCAACTTTGGAAAGGACCCATTTGTTTTTGATCTAAAGGTATGATTTTCTTGGTAATTCTTCATGATCTCTATTCATGTCCAAGTTGGTGTGTCAAACCTTTATTAAGGTGGATCAATTATGGCTCTTTTGCTTTTTGGCCCTTGATGGTAATGATTGCACTCAGATTTTACAAATGGTTCCCTTTGTCAAATTTAGGTAATCAATTGCATTTCAGATGGTTGTATTAAAAAGTTGCTCTCTTTTCATTATTTCTGACCTCTAGTGGTTTCTTGGGGATTTTTCAACCAGGTATAATGACTTTTTCGTTGTACCTTGTAATTTCGGATTAAGATATGAGTATTTGGCTGCCATGTTAGAGCACCAACCCAGTTATTGCAGAAAATCTTTGTCCTAATGAAGTAACTTATAAGTGAATCAAAGGAAAAATTAGGCTTGAGTTTTTAGCCTACCAAGATTCGCTTCACTTGCTTTTCAGCTGACTATTAAGTTGCAAGAGTTTGTAGAGCTAGTACTGTTGTGATCTTTTACCCTGCTCACTTAATTGCTGGAAAACAGCAGTTGGGAATCGCATAAAATGGCCATCAAACCATACTCCTAGTAGTAGCTGATTCTCTTACCTGTAAATCCACTTTGCCCAAAATTTCTAGGTGAATTTTAGCTTCTCGAGATTCTGTATGTGTTGTTTTGGCCATGTAATCTCTATTCCATCAGGAAACTATACATTTTTTTTGTGGGCCCCATGCTATCAGAGAACTGTATGTACAGTGTTTAGTTGATAATGCATCAGCCAAAATGTCTATAAATACTCCTTAAAGATTGATAATTTACCCCTCTATATGGTGCATAAGCTTTGAATTTGATATTTAATTCCACTTTTAGGTAGGACCTTTCAGGACAATTAAGATATGAGTATTTGGCTGCCATGTTAGAGCACCAACCCAGTTATTGCAGAAAATCTTTGTCCTAATGAAGTAACTTATAAGTGAATCAAAGGAAAAATTAGGCTTGAGTTTTTAGCCTACCAAGATTCGCTTCACTTGCTTTTCAGCTGACTATTAAGTTGCAAGAGTTTGTAGAGCTAGTACTGTTGTGATCTTTTACCCTGCTCACTTAATTGCTGGAAAACAGCAGTTGGGAATCGCATAAAATGGCCATCAAACCATACTCCTAGTAGTAGCTGATTCTCTTACCTGTAAATCCACTTTGCCCAAAATTTCTAGGTGAATTTTAGCTTCTCGAGATTCTGTATGTGTTGTTTTGGCCATGTAATCTCTATTCCATCAGGAAACTATACATTTTTTTTGTGGGCCCCATGCTATCAGAGAACTGTATGTACAGTGTTTAGTTGATAATGCATCAGCCAAAATGTCTATAAATACTCCTTAAAGATTGATAATTTACCCCTCTATATGGTGCATAAGCTTTGAATTTGATATTTAATTGGAGAGCAAGACAATCAAGTGACTGTTCCTGAAAGGTCCTACCTAAAAGTGGGCGAAAGCGCTCAAGTCTAACAAGGAATCTCATTAACCTATTCTAGCATCTACAAAAAGTTCAGAGGTGGTAATAATAATTTATCTCGGAAAAGGTTCACTTACTATCAGCATTGGTTTTCTGCTCTCTGATTATTTTCCATGGTTGTCTCCGATTATGGTAATTTCTGCATTACTGTTGAATTTCTTACATATACCAGCAAAGTGTGTTATATTTTAGAATCTAGAATGTTTTGTTTGTTCTTTTGGTCAACCACAACGCTTACACACAGTACCCTTAACTGTCCCTGATCATCGTATTCTACCTGTATGTGGGCTTATGTCATGTTATTCAGCTTAGCAGAATATGATGTCTTAAATTAAACCAAAGTACTAGGTAACTGTTGCTAGAGTAATATTTGTTTCTTCTAATTTCTTTGTTTCATATTATTCAATCAGGCGTTTGAAGCAGAGGAAAGAAGAAAGCAACAGATGACAATTGATAAGATATCTATATCACAGAATGCCAGTTATGAGTAAGTCTAGATATCAATGTAAATTATATAATGTTTGGTGTTCTGAGATAGCAATTCAAATAATCAAGGCTGCATTGTCTGTCGAATAGACTTTTGAAATCCTCTCAAAATTGTGGACAAACAGAAGTACATGTTACTATGATTCTGGCAATTAAGCGAACTGTGGGGAAAGTTTTTACAACTAGAATATCACATAGATATCTCAAAAAAGGATAAGCACAACTTTTTCAGAGGCCCTTTTTACTGCATGAATACTTTTCCCACCAGAATAATTAGTAACCAACCACACGAAATTAACCTATGACGTTATTTTCTCAAGTGACAAAATTCTTTGAAACTTAACTACTGTACATTGAGAGGTGTTTAGGCTCTGCACCTCTGGAATCAATTTTTTAAGCATGTACAAACTCAAACTGGGTGGAACAATTAATAATAGTGCGTGCATGCTGAAAAAGTAAGAGAACTTTTTTCTTTTTGATGAGAGATAGAAAATAGCTACATTCCTGGTCTGTGGTCTTTCAGAAGATAATTTGAGCATGCAAAAGCACAATTCTCATGTCTAATAGTAGTAGTTTGATGAAATTGATCTTACTTTCTTTAACTTGATGACGCATTGGTAACAGGCAGATTCTTGATGAAACACATTTTTTTTCTTATGTGAACATTAGAGGAAAAAATGTGTTCTGTCTTAAACAGTGGCAAAGATTGGCCGGACATCCTTCCAGCTGATAATTGGTTTAGTCTAAAAGCATTTCAGAACTTGGCTCAAAATTGCTGAGGATTTTAGTCTTAAAGAGTTATCTGGAAGTCATGTGATCTGTTTGCCAGAGAGAACATGCTAAGTATAATTAAATGTCTTTTTTTTTTTTTAAATTGCATGTTAGTGTGAGGGACTTCTGAATTTTTTTTCTCTTGCTAGGAAGGAACTTTGGGGCTCTATTTAGGTTAATATAGTGGTTCTGTAGCCCGCTTTTCCTTACACATTACAGTTAATCCTTTTGTGGAATATTATCTATGTTGTGATGTTTCTTTGTTTCTAACTGCAAATACAAACTATTTGATCTTTATTGACATATTCAACATATACACAATGACTCCCTTTTTTGGGTGTTTTGGAGGTTGTCCATTTCTTTGACTGCAATATGCTGAAATATCTTATTTTATTTGCTGTCAGGTAGCAAAAAGAGATCTAAGGGAAGTTTGTACTTGAACTAAAAGCGAATCCTCATAGGACATTTAAGGTTTTTTAGTGATTGCGAAGAACATGTATTCTTGAAGAGAAGTTTGTTTGGATAAGAGTTTATTTGGATGATTTATTTGAGATAATTACTGTAGCACTTTTTGTGATGTGATGTATGTGAGATAAAAAGGTGATTGAGAAGATAAAAAAGGTGATTGGGATTTGTGAAGTAAATTATTTTGTTTCAAATTATCTCAATCCAAACACATTAATATGTTTTAATTGATCTTCAGTATCATGCCTTTGGTATGGGAGCCTTCGCCATGGCAGATGCATTTCATGTACTTTGTTGTGTATGATGTGTTTGGTGTATATATTACAAGTTCTGTATTTGTGAGTTTGTTGAGTTCCACATTTATCTTTGCAGCTTTACCACTACATCATTAAAATATTTATTTATTTTTTTGGGTTCCAGAATTATCCGTTCCTACTTACAATATTATGGATATGAAGAAACGCTCAAACAGTTTGACATGGCTAGTAGAAGTACTGTTCCTCCCATCGCATTAGGTCAGGAGAATGGATCCAGTGATACTGAGATCACTTATGCAATGAATCACAGAAAGACTCTTCGTCAGGTATAAATGCTAGAAGCATGCTTCTCATAATTGTTTGACAAGTGCGATGCTACAGAAGAATGAGAGCACTTTCTGTTCATTTTGATTTCTTGTTTCAATGATGCTTTTAGTTGTAACTGAGGGGCTAAGCTGTTTGCTATCTAGGTATAGCATATCTGAATGGTTGCTTATGTTGCTTTCTTCTTTTACTGAAAAATCATTAATTTTTCAAGGTTAGAACTATTTTTTATATACATAAATGTTTTGATCATAAAATTTTTGTTTCTGGGTCTCCTTTTAGTTTTGTTTGGAAAATATAGTGACATCCCACTCGGGCAATATGTTAGCTTTACAGAATGGTCATTATTCTTGGAAGTGCATCTGTTATGAGTTCTTGCGGGCTTCTACCCTTCTTGCAATTAATGACTGGAGACATGCAAACAAGTATTGCTTGTTAACTAACTAATAGCCTTTAAATTATTGTTAAGCATGTGTTAGCTGAAGAGTTTCTTAACACATTGATCTGCAGGGCAATAATTATCTTAACCAACTAAAATGTATACAGAATAAGTACTAATACACTGTTGGAATTTCTGGTATTTGGTGGAACAGTGAACTGAATTTTGTTTGGAACTTCTGTTTTTCTGTTTCAGTAGATCTGCTGGTGTATGTTGGCGTAACTTATGTACTTATTCACCAAATCTCTTGCATACATGGTTAATCGTAATTCATAGAAAAGATATTTGATGGGAAAGCACTGTTAAGGAATCGTCAATTTCTTGTTCACTTGTTGACCTAATTTTGAGCGAGCAATGTGTTCCATTTTCATAGGCACAATTCTTGTGCATCATTCTGTTTTCCAAGTTGTTGATAAAACCTAGAGATACTAAGTGATCTTATTGAAATTAATCTATTTCGTGAAGACTTTCCTTGGATTGTCCTTTTTAGTCATTTCCTTCGCCTCTAAATCATAACTCAACATGATTTCGCTTGTTCTTGTATATGCTGTCATTCTGATGCGTCAAAGTTTTCACAAAGCCAGTTGGTTTTAGGTTTTTTTTTTCTGTGTTGGGGGGGGGGGGGAGGGAGGAGGGGGCGGATTTAGCTGATTTAACTCCTACCTTTTACCCTTGGAAAGAACTTTCTTGCTTGAATTGGCTTCTCTTTTTAGCTTCTACATGCCAATCTCTTCACTTATTTTAGCTTCTACGTGCCAATCTCTTATTTTGAATTGGCTTCTCTTTTTAACTTCTACATGCCAATCGCTTCATTTATTTTAGTTTCATTTTTCTCATGATAAATGTGTAAGAACTCCAAGTAACCTTGATTTGCAACCTGTGCAGCTAATTAGGAGTGGTGAGATTGATGATGCATTTGACAAGCTTCGCATGTGGTATCCTCAGATTGTTCAGGTAAACGAATACTGATCCTATAGATGTCAGTTTTATTTGCATAAACTGTGTTTCTAGTAAGTTCTTATTTTTGTGCTTGTTATGCATTTCATGCCTACTCTTAGTACTGTTTATTACTGGCTGAGCTTTATTGTCCTTCCCTATCTTTTCTTTTTTTTTTTTATTTTTCCCCCTTGTCTATCAGCTGAGCTTTATATCAGACAACATGTAACTTTTCACTTCCTTTAGTTAGAAATTACTGGCTAAATGCGAAATACTGTGAGCACTGGCCAAACAATGCTTGTTTTCCTTTTGGTTCTTAATTGAGGGCATATTCCTCCATTCATCAACTAGTATGTGAGGCTATAAGTAAAATATTTGTTGTTGATCTTAGCTTCTTGAAGTAGATGTGATTGCGTTCTTAAGTCACAAATGCTGTGGAGATCCACTGATAATACCAGTTTGGGGTACGAAAATCTGTTTTATTAAACTCATGTTGATGAGGCCAACTTCTCAAACAAACCTACAGAAAATTCAAGCTGAGGGAACTTTGGCAATACTTATGTTGGCATGGAGTGCGATTTGCCAAGATATGGTTCAGAAGTTCATCTTTTTGTGGAACAACACTTTGATTAATTATTGATCCTCCTATGCATACAACTTGGACAGTCATGGTTGTAGTTTTGAATGGCCGAGATGTATCATTCTTGAATGGTTCTGGAGGTGTATTAAGCTATGCCTGCTTGAGCGAAAGATAAGAAATATAATTAAAGCTGAGGGAACTTTGATAATACTTCTTTTGTCAAGGAGTACAATTTGCCAAGATATGGTTCAGAAGTTCATCTTTTTGTGGAACAACACCTTTTGCTTAATTATTGATCCTCCTATGCATACAACTTGGACAGTCATGTTTGTAGTTTTGAATGGCCTAGATGTATCATTCTCGAATGGTTCTGGAGGTGTATTAAGCTATGCCTGCTTGAGTGAAAGATAAGAAATATAATTAAGACACTGATTTACTGAGTTTCAAGATGATTCCACTGATAAGAAACTGGTTTATTGATTTTTTAAAGTGAACCAGCAAAATTGCTTCAACTAGATGTAATTATGAAGGTTCTACTGGAATTTTGTGCCATGATTTTTTTTCTCATTCTTTAACTGGTTATTTTTTTCTCATTGGGCTTCTGTCATGATCATCATTTTCACAGCATGAGGCCTAAAAACTAATAGATCTGTAAATGGTTGATGGTGGAAAGAAATTCTTTAGACATCATCTTCTTTCTCTCTCATTGATATCAGCTTGTAGTTTTCCTATTTTTCCTGTTAAATTGAGTATGGCCCCACTTTCTTCACTTGTTCTTCAGCTAGCATTTGCTTAAAAATTGACTTAATTAATAAAGACAGACTTCTCCAGTGACAGGCTTTTCTGGTTACAGCCAATCAACTTGCTGTAAAATTCGTTGGCTTCTGTCTCCCCTGTCACTTCTGAAGTAATATTTATTTTTCACGTGATGATTAGTCTCCTGATCTTAGTTATTGGTTTTGCTTTGTGCAGGACAATAAATCAGCTATGTGCTTTCTGCTTCACTGTCAAAAATTCATTGAGCTTGTTCGGGTAATATTCTTTTTTTCTATATAGTTCGAGTTATATGCTTGATTGCTTGGCCAACTGTCTGCATTCTGTCCTTTGATGCTTATAAATGTGTTATACGCATTGCTATATGGTTCTGGTATATGGTTCTTGTCTCAATCAAATGTAATGCTAAAAGTTATAAAAAATGGTACTTTAAGGAAAATGAGAGGATAGAACAGATATGTTTCCATGGGCAACTGGAATTTTGTACTTCCTGGTCATGCTTGATGTTCTTTGCTAGGGCCGAAATTACTGCACTGTTTTTAACAGAGTAAGGGACTCACTAACCTTTGTCTACTTATTAGGTGGAAAAGACTTTATGAAACCCTTACTCGTTGATTGCTTCCTTAAAGACTGGGATGATTAGATGTCAATTGACAGCACCAAAATATTTCCTGGTTTTGAATTCCAAGAATCTGTCAGAGGTTCCCCAGTCTAATTTGATTAGTCTTTGGATGGTGTGGCAGCTGACCCTGAGCTGAAGTGTGATGTTTCTTCAATCTTAGGTTTAAATGAATTTAAGTTAGGGTAGCAATAAATAGTCCATAGAAATGGCATTTTCAGTTAAACCTTATGCTAACCTTTCCTAAGATCACAAGCCCTCTCCAATGAGTTCAACTGTAGAAATTTCAACCTAGATCTGGGTCCAAAGACTTTGATGCACTGATGGATTCTCCTGAAAGACGTGCAAATGGATAGGAGTGACATTTTGAATTGTTGCTGAGTAGCTTTTTATTCATCAGCATAGCAAAGCTTGCAGTGTTTTTCCACAGTTCATACTGTGGCAGAATATTGGTAATGTTACTATTGAAGCAGTTGTCATTTAGATAGTTCCCTTTTAGCACGTCCTATGAGTAGCTTTTGGGCCCCATTATTGCCACTTTAAACGTTACATGAGATTTTATCTCATAGGGCTTGTCTAATTCTTTGAAGTTCTCCGTTTGAGCTAAACATGTTATATTTGACCTCGGGCACCTCCGCAGGTTAATGAGAACTAGATGTTAAAGAAAATTACCAATGTATTTGTAACAGTTTGTGATTAGTTTTTTGATATATGATGAGGTATTGGCATCACTTTTGTCTTCTTATTATTTCTTCATTCTTAGTTTTCCTTCAAAAAGCATGTGGGTGTATTACTATTCTTGAATGCCAACTCAAACTCTTTCCTCAGGGCACTTCGATACTTAGATATTGCATGTATTGGATATTCTGCGGCTATTATTTCAAAAATTAGCTCTAAAATGAGCATTAAGATTGGCAAGTGATGCCTGCTGTTATTTTCAGATCGGCAAGTTGGAAGAGGCGGTGGTATTTGGCAGAACCGAGTTCGAAAAGTTTTACAGGTTGACCGAGGTTCACGATCTGGTTAAGGTACCTGGTATACATTTTCACTATTATAGTTTGTTTGACTGGATCTCTCACTGCAATACTGATTCAGCGTGGTCAAAATCTGGCTATCTGACTAGTATGGAGAAACCATTGTCTTGTTAGAATTATGCTTCTTGACCATAATTGTTAGATTTATTCACTTGTAAGCTCTATAAATGTACATTTGCAAAATTAATGGAAATCCGTGCATCTTGTTTCAATTTGTTTATAAAGGACATCCATGAATTAACTGAAACCATTAAACAACTAATTCACAACGCCAAGTTTTAAAATCTTGTGGTATTTATGTTACTGGACAGACCATAGGCTTCCTGTTTGGAGACCTGGAGAGGGGAACGTTTATGAAGAATTTTTAAAGCATCTCTCTTCTTGTTATAAATCTGTCGGTAACATATTAAAATGACTTCAAGTACTCCTTTCTCTCTCCTCAGGATTGTGCGGCATTGCTAGCATATGAACAGCCACTGAAGTCCTCAGTTGGATATCTTCTTGAAGATTCTCAGCGAGAAATTGTAGCTGATGCTGTTAATTCCATGATCTTATCAACAAATCCTAATATCACGGATGCAAGAGTTTGCTTGCATTCTTGTCTTGAGAGATTACTCAGGCAGCTAACTGCATGCTTCTTAGAGAAGCGGTCGTTGAATGGTGATCAGGGTGAAGCATTTTATCTGGGCCGACTACTTTGACATATATTTACTGCCAATACAACTAGATTGCTACCTCTGTCCATGTGTACATATCGAGCTTCACCTATTCAGCACAGGCGGTAAAATTGCTTTTAGGGTCCGAGATGCGTCTTGAGTGGGGGCCTTGTGTAAGTCCTAAATTGTCAGTAATATTAGTCTTCTAAACGAGGGTTCCTCTGCTGTAAAGTTTGTACCCTGATAACATAAGCGATGAACGAAAGTGCTTCGTTGACCAATTGATGTTACAGCAGTAACCTAGATAGCGGTTAATGCTAATGTTTTTACAGTTATAATACACCTGCTGTACAGGATAAGCATCTCTTACTTTCTTTGCTTCTGCCAATTGATGTCAACTGTCCATTGCTTAATGTGGTCCATAGAGGATTCTCTCTCTCTCTCTCTCTCTCTCTCTCCCTCTCTCTCTCTCTCTCTAGCTGGAGAGAGCAAACTTTGTCCTACACTGGTGGTCACCAGAATCGAGCTAATATAGGTGATACACAGATCTCTAGATACCAGTTACTTTAGTGTTCTGCAATTGATCTTGTCAAACCAGAAAGAGTTGCAGTAAATTGAGTACCGGGAGACTTTTCTAAAATTTTCTTTCTAACAGGGAAAGGAGCGGATATAAGAGGGCTGAAGGGAGATTTGAATTTAGGAGCTCTTATGGACTCAACTGTTGTCATTAGCTAAGGCTTCCTTGGCAGAGATTGTGTATACTCTAATTTAAGGTGTGATGCACAATCTGTCGATCCTTATCTATTATTATGTAACATAATCGTGTTTCCTTTTTTTATTTTTTTGATGTTTAATGTACTACTATTTATTTTAACAAATTTTTTTTCCAATAGGGAAAGGGTGTGACTTGGGAAATTAGGAGTAAGTAGACGGATTTATACCCAAAACTTCTAATTTCTAATATCTCAGTGAACTCCTATTTAATTAAATGTCATAGGAAGGGGCTAAATCCACATCCTTCCATTCTAAGTCTATACCCTCCTATTCTAAATCTACACCTTAATCACCAATACAATAATTAAGTCCCTATCACTTAATGACTTTTATTTATAATTTTTTACAATTCTAGAATAGTCATATTATACAATAAAAATAATTTGCCATAACAATACTCTTTCAATTATTTCCTAATTTTCTTTTAATTCATTTCTTTTTTTTAAAAATAATTTACATTACGTTAAGCGTCTTTAAACAATTATAAATTCATGAAACCAATCAAGTTAGATAATAGAGTTAGATATTAGAGGTACTACAAAAGTGCTGCTACACAAATAATTCATCATTTCAATGTAATAGATAGGCATCCTATAAAACAAACTAAAAAAAATGTAAAAGAAACATCTAATGATCCATGTATTTGGTTAATTTGATTGTTATATATTGTGAAAAACAAATTAAGAATACATACTACACATCTTATGAGCTTAAAATTTCTCTAAAGCCATGAGAATTTTGTTGGAATCGTTTAAAAGATAAACTAGTGTAAAAGCAGTTAAAAGAATTCTGCTAAGCAAATTGCTTGTAGTGTGGAAAAAAAGGAAGAAAAACCATCAAATGTTAAGTGTCTTGATGTCATATTGGTCTTTAGGGAGTGGATATAGGATCAAGGGTGTGGATTTAGCTTTTCCTAATGTTTTATCCTCAATCAAAAATCCTATTAAAAATATAATTCTTCAATTTGATATAGAGTACATGCAAAGAAAGATAAAAGCTGATATGATGTGGGGACTTTTTTTGCAGTTTCTCAAAAAAATTAAAGCAAATAACATTTTTATTAGATTCGGACATCATACGTTTATTTTAATTAGATTATCCCTATTTCCTACCTATCTCTTGATCAATTGGTCCCGTATTCTTGTCTCTCATGACCCTTTCTTTGGCTAATAAATATTGCAGTTTGTGTTCTAGGGATATTTATCTAATTCTGTGAAGGTTATACCGCAAGAGCAAGCAAACCACTGTGACAGAATAGAGTTGAATGCTTTTTTTTTTTTTTTTTTTTTTAAAAAAAGAGAGAATCAACAGTTGTTTTTCACTTATCTCTTGATGACTTGAACTTGTCACCGTCAATTATAAGTGGCACATTTTACCAACTAGGGTGTGTTTCGTTTTCAAATAAAGTTGAATGCTACCACTATTGAATGTCAAGTATCTTATAGTTCGGAGCTATAAAATTTTTGTGAGTTGAAATTAAGTTGATTACGTTAATACTTGCCATAAAATAAGACAATAATTCTTTCTCGATATCTTGACCAAGGTTATTTGGTATTTAATTTATGCTTCACCTTATAATACAATAAGTAAATTTATAGGAGTCTCTCTATTGCGTCCCATTTCTCAAAAATAAATTTAAAAACTTGGTTTAAAGAGCAATAAAAAGAGCAATTTTGATTTTTGTTTTGTTTGTGTTTTTTTAAATAAAAATAAAGAAAACTAAAAGGGCCTAGAATAGAACTTGGCAAAGGCAACGGATTAGGGCCTATTAGAAGTCTTGGAAAAATGGTTTCTTGGAAAAAATTTTAAGAGCTGTCACTCATTATTAAGTTCAGGTATATCAAATCACCTATAAAAGAGCAATTTTGATATTTAAAACACAAATTAAAACCCTTTAATTAGATAACTCTAGCTCTTTTGAAACAAGTGAAATAGATCTGAAAGTTACATTTATTGGGAGCTACATTTATGAGGGAGGAAGGTTATCCTCAAGCACCTCTCTGTAAATCAGTTGCGAGTTTAATTTCACTTTTCTAATTTTAAGGCCAAACTTGAGCTAATTTATGCTAAGCACATAGCATGCATTTAGTTAACATAAAAACATCTAACCATTAGAAGACATGCATACACATAAAATTGAAATCAAACAAAATAAAAAATTTGCAAGGCTTCCGTTGAAGAAGATAACAATATGATGGAGTTTTTTTTTTTTTAATTATTATCAGTATCAGTGATTGATTATCATACAACAAATAATACTTTTTTTTATTAAGTACAACAGATAATTAAAACTTTCTCTATCCCAATTTTTTATCTTATTTCGATCTTCGTGCTTTTTATGTACAGTAGAAATGTTATGTTACTATTTAGCATGATTTCCTAATTTTACCCACATCAAAGTCCTCATTTTTTGTTGATAGTAGACCCATCACCCATGTGATAATCATCATGACAAGTGGTCCAATAGTTGTTTGTATGTTCCAACTATATCATTATGTCAAAATGGCGTGTGAAGTTACTTCTAAGTATTTTATTGAACAAATAAGGTTTTTTTTTTTTTTTTTTTTTTTTTTGTCGACACGATAGAATTCTTATAACCTAAACTAGCCTATTCTAGAGGGGAAGGGGAGGGGACTTGATGTGAGTAGAAACTCCATCGAAACTGGTCAAAGAAGACCGTTACATATTGTGACAAATTTTGTGGGAGGCAAGGTTCGAACCCTTGACCTCTCGCACTACCAAGCCTAAGAAGGCTTGGGATGACCACTGGACCAAAGGCCCAATGGCGAACAAATAAGGTTGGGATGGCTTCATCCGTCTCAAATGCAAATTTGAATTCCAACGGAGGTCTGACAAAAAATAAACAAAACTAAAGGTGAAAGTAAGAAATTTGTAAATGTCTTGTTTACCATTTTGGGTAAGTCACAATAATTTTGGAACAGACCAAAATGACAAGCATCACATTTTATGGAAATAAGGGAATAACTACTCCTAAAACAAAATTGCATCGGCAACAGACAAAATTATAGCATCTGAAGTGTATGAAAAAAAAAAAAAAACAAATTGGACTGCATTGAACTCATCCCTGTCGTTGGATAGAACAACCACTGCACTGTGAAAATGGTAGAAAAAACTTGGGTATCATTGATCTAAGAATGAGAAAATCTCAAATTGGATTGATGTTAAATAAAAATAAAAAATATAATAATCTTAATAGTAATAATAAAATAAAAACTAGTAGCATTAATATTCAGCAATTTTGAAATATTAGTAACATCTATCTAACAATAGAGAAAGAGTTTTTCTCCCTATAAAAATAACTTCATCCCATCCAACTGAATTGAATTACATTATCATTCAACTAAATTGAATTACATCATTATTCTACAATAAAACCGGCATTTTTATTCCACCATTATTTAAATCAATAGATATCAAGCTTGTGCTAATTTAGGGAGTATAGATTGTGTCCACCACAAGGTGCAGGGCAGGTGATCTACGTTCTTATGAAGTTGTATAAATTCTTACCTCTGTCAAAATATTTGGCCCTCTAACTGTTTTGCAAATCAGCTTTGGATATGTATTAGTTATACTTTTAACTACATTTGAAAATGTGTTTGGATTGTATTGATTTCCAAGTATAATAGTATGAAGTGCTAACGAATTTAATAGGTTGAAACAATTTTGTAAAAATATTTCCGTATCTAAATATTTTTGTTGATATAAATTATTATAACTACCATGTTTAAGATATTCATATCTTCAAAAGGTTTGGTCCACAATTTTATCAAAATGATTGCTTTTAAAATCTCGCCAATACCTACCAAGATTGTCTATAAGTAATTAAACTTTAATAAAAGAAAAATCATGCAAAATTGTAAAAAAAATTGGGTAGATGTTTATGTTATTTATATTGTCTTTGTTCATCAATTTTTTTGTAAATTTTTTATTTTTATTCGCAATTTGATTATAAAATTGATTATAGAAAATCATTGTGTTCAGTGAACTAGAGTAGGCATGTTAGTATAGAGGATCAAATTGGATGATAAGGGGAGAGGGATTCTAAATAAGAGGTTTTGGATTCAAGATCTCCTACTTACAAAAAAAAAAAGGTATGTTAATGCAACAATAGCCTCCGCATAATAATGTTACTATATAATAATGCATGAGTATGGTTTGGAGTTTACAAAGGTGTTAGCATTTACCCATCCAAAAATATCCTTCCAACATTTACTATTATCTATCCCCATCTTATTTGGAAAATCTTCGCTCGTACATAACTAACACTACATACGATGACTACATTCCCATTAACTGATTCACTAATCCAATAATGAACATTGCACCACCACCCAAAATTCTCTCCAACTAATTTTTTATTTTATATCTACTTTATTATTTGCTTTTTTCTAAAATATGCACACTAATACTAAAATATGTTTTTTTTTTCTAAATTAGTGTGTTCCACACCTACTAGTTGACAGGTTGTCAGCCTGTGCAATAATAAAACCTGCTCAAACTAAAAGTAATTTCTGTAGATAGCGGTAAGCAGGGTCGAATCCACAGGGACTGGGAGTAATTGTTTCTTTTCAAATTCACAGTGACAAAGGGGGGTGTTTTTGTGTAGAAGGTGACAATA